CAATACATTGTTTGATTTCTTGACTGCTGCTTCCATGAGTGTTGGTGGTTGATCCAAGAAGAATGAAGTCCTTGACAACTTCAATCTTATCTCCATTGATCAGAATGTTGTTTATTGGTCCAGTGGTAAGGATTTTTGTTTTCTTTACATTGAGATGCAATCCATACTGAAGGCTGTGCTCTTTGATCTTCATCAGTAGTAGTGTGGCGCTATGGTAACCCCAAGACTAAGTTCAAACCCACCAACTGCTCTTAGAAACCTTATGAGTGGAAACTGACTCCACAGCACACCACCATCACTATGTTTAAATTACATTTGAATTTAAGAAAGGACAATACTATAACTAATCAGAAAAAGATTAGATAGGGCAAAATGGAGAATAAAACCAATTAAGAGGCTATAATAGTAATCTGGAAAATAAATATGTGTTGTTGTTTTTAAGAGCCTTCGAGTCAATTTTGACTCATAGTGACCTTGTAGAGGATTTCTGAGGAGTGGCTGGTGAGCTTGAACCACCGACCTTGCAGTTAAAACCAACATTGCAGTTCAAACTGACCCTGCAGTTCAGTACATGAACCTGCAGTGCCACACAAATAATCCAGTGATAGAGACCTAAAAATAAAATTTCCAGATTCCTGGTCTCAGGAACTTCATGAGTGGTGGTGCCATTCACTAAAACAAAGATTCCAGAAGAAGGAAGAAACAATGGGGACATGTTGATGATTTTAGTTTTTGGTATGTTGAATTTCAGTACCTTTAAAACATCCAATTAGAGATTCCTGTAGGTGGTTAGACAAAGATCTAGGTCAGAGATATCAATCTGAAAGTCACCACATATTTGAGAGTTGGAAATGGTTGAGAGAACCCAGGGAGAGAATGTAAAATGAGAAAAGATGTGGGTGGAGTACTGAATCCCAGGGAACACCAACAAGTAAGTGAAGGGTAGAGAAAGAAGAATCTGCAAAGGAACTAGAGAATGGGTAGACAGAGTCCTGAAGGGAACCACGAACTTTGTAACTCATGGAGAAGGAGAGGGAGTTCAAAGAAAGAGATAATGGTGAAAAAGTAGTCAAGGAACTTGGTAAGGAAGATTTCACCATTGTCTCTTTCTTTGAAATTAGGTGTGTGCCAATGGTGAACAAGGTCAAATGATTACAGAATGATTTGGAACTGGACAGACCTGGATTTGAATTCTAGCTTTGCTACTTACCAGCCAGCAGTGAAACCTTGGAGACACCACTAGAGCTTAGTGTTTGTAAAAGGGATTAATAATAGTACCTAAAAATTATTGTGAGGATTAAATTAGACAACATACATAAAGCTGCTAACACATTGTCTGGCACATAGTACCTTATTAATAATACTGGCTAAAGGTCCCCAGGTGACACAAAGAGTTTGTACACTCCTGCTAAACTCAAAGTTGACTGTTTGAACCCACCCAACTGTACCTCTGATAGTGTAGTGGTTACGAATCAGGCTTTGCCCGCAAGGACAGCAGTTGAAAATTATCAGCTGTTCTGTGGGAGAAAGATGAGGCTTTCTGCTCCCGTAAAGATTTACAACCTTGGAAACCCTATTCAGGGTCACTATGGGTTGGAACTGACCCCATGGCACATAGCCACCAACTGTACCTTGGAAGTAAAGTCCTAATAATCTGCTTCTATTAAGATTATAGAAACAAACAAAATGGAAGATCAGGTGAAAATACTAAAGGAGCTCCATCAGCAACAACACAGAATACAGGACCAAGCAGGCTCAGGGGATAGTCCCAGAACTCCGAACCACATACAAAGGAATATTTAGAAGGTTGGAAGACTTACAACTAGGGGAATTTGTAGCAGAAGCAAGAAATCCATTGCTTTCTAATTCAAGACGCTCAGCTGCTCCAGGAGCCGCCATCTTGGGTAAGACCAAGCCGGGAAAGGATCAGAGCAGCCACGTATGCCTGACAGAACCATGGACATAAAGGTGTAGACATTCTTTTCTTTTAGTATCTGTTCATTGGTCCCTTGCTGTCTGTGCACTTCCATTCTGGTGACTATAGTGGTACCTGAGCTAGTGGAAACCCCAGCCCCACCTTCCGAGGATTCTTCTACGCATGCGCACAGATCTCCTAGAAATTTAAAGAGACAGTGTCCACTTAAAACCAAATGGCCACAGCCAGCCCCGAACGGTTTATAACTAGAAAAAGGGCTTGAACAGGGATTGTGGAGTGGGACAGGCAGACAAATAAGGAAATAAGCTGAAAATTAAATCCTAAATTACATCACAATGACCAACAGTGGCATGTTGAAACTTCTCAAGAAAGAAGAGTGAGAGGTGAAGCCCATTTCTTGATCACATCTACCTGGAGGCAATCAGAAAGCATAAAAAATACCAAAACACACACCCATGTAAGTATTAAGGCCACAGATAACCCCTAAATATGCCCAAAAAATAGAAGCAGATGACGGTATCTGCACATGTCCAGAAATGAGATAAAGTGACTGAGGCAAATAAGCTGGAAGTAGACCTACACTCCATACTGGAAGATGGGCAGGCTTTGGAAATGCCAGAGAAGGAATTCAGAAAAATGATTATAAAATGTATCAAAACACTATATAATGGAGTTGAGAAAAATAAGGAAGAAGTCAGGAAAGTGCTACAGGAACAATCAAATAAGATAGATACAGCTTTGAAAACAATTCAAAACCTACAGAAAGAGGTCCAAATGATTAATAATAGAATATCAGAAATGGACAATACACTGAAAGAGTAAGGAGTAGAATTGAAGAGCTAGATGCCAGAACTAGTGAGCTAGAAGATAAATCTCTCAACACTACTAAGATAGAAGAGCAAATACAAAAAAGGATAAAGAAATCTGAAGAAGGCCTAAGATTCATGTTGGACAATATAAAAAGGAATAACTTAAGAATTATTGGCATTCCAGAACAGGAACAATCACACAAGTCCAGAGAGGACATAGTTGAAGAGCTTCTGGAAGAAAAAGTTCCTAACATCTTGAAAAGTGAAAAGATAAGCATTCAAGAAGCTCAACAAACCCCAGGATGGATAGACCCTAAAAGACAATCACCAAGACATATAATAATCAAGCTCTCCAAAATCAAAGGTAAGGACAGCTGGGAAAACAGAAGTGTGACATACAAAGGGAAGCAAATCAGATTAAGCTTGGATTTCTCAACAGAAACCATGCAGGCAATGGGGAGACATATAAAAAACCCTGAAAAAAAAAAACTGCCACCCAAGAATCCTCTACCCAGAAAAGCTGTCAATCAAATATGATGGTGTAATCAAAACATTCCAGAATAAACAGAAGTTAAGGAATTTTGCCAAAGCCAACCCTGCTATGAAAAACATCCTAAAGGAAGTTCTGTGGACTGAGAACCAATAAGAACAGACAATAACTACAGAATGATGTACATGGCAACATCAAACTGAA